GCCGGTGAGGGAACCAGTGGTGGTCTCCTGTGAAACCAATCCCCGCTTCGGCCGGGAGCGGTTACCCAAAGCTTCGGCTGCAGCACAGTGATTGATCCGTCCATTGGGGCCATATCCGTTATAAAGATTTTGTTTTTTTTTTGAGTGTTGTCATTGGTGGCTAGCTGGAACAGGGGCTCATAATCGGGACACCCATTACAAGCAACAATGGCCTTCCAGACAACAGTAGTGATGCTGTCGGCCACCAGTTCGTTGTATTCATCCAAGGTAGTATTGCTGTCTTGAAGCCATGAGATCAATGGGTCGGACTGGGAGGTTTGGTTTCCTTTAGAAGAGCCAATCCTGCTGACCATTGAGCTGTTCCCGAGATCCAGACTACCAAAATCAGGTGGCAAGAAGCTCTGAGTGTCATTGCTGGCGAAGTTGCCCCAATCTGTTTCCCACTTGTCAATAGTGACATTGTGCATTACTCGGTCATACAGGTCCAGACACATCCCCTGTAAATTGCCAAGAAAACAAGAATTTGTGGTCAGAATGAATGAAATGAAAGGATGGTTCGTGAGCAAAATTGATTGGTGAGGAACTCACAGATATGTCATTGTAAACATCCCTAAAGAGGAACTCCATCATCTGCCTGTCCTGTTGATTGAACAGAAGATCAGGTGGGATTCCCTTGATCTGAAGCTCAACGAACCCGACCTCCATCTTTTCAGCATCTGAGCAAACAAGGGGAACAAACTTGTCAAAAATTGTGGGAAACTGTGTTTCTGGAGTTGGGGTTGGACCTGATGAAGTTGACTGCAATACCCCTGCAGACAATGCTGCTGCAGTCAGTGTGGCTGCAGCAGAACAACATAGAATTTAGCTGTGTTCCTTTCTTGAAGAATCAAATTGAATTGATGTGAGCTTACCTCCAACAGCTACTCCAGCCTGAGTGACTAGACTTGAAGTGGCAACTGCTCCCGCCAACGTGGAGGCCCCACTTAGACCTGCAAGATTGATAGAATACATGGTGGTGAGAATGCGGCAATGTGGAACTATTAAACAGGAATATATATATTCAACGGCACAGACCTGCAGCAGAAGCTCCAGCAACGCCAGCACTGGTAGCTACTCCAGAAGCCGAGGAAGTCGCAGCACCTTGAGCCTAGGGATAGTAGGGATCAAAACAGGAACGGCTGTTAGGAACTAAGAGAGAAATGTGGCGGGGCATTTGAAATCGAGACCATCAAATCCGAAAGGCAAATAACTTACAGCTGAAGTCGCCATTTCGGCCACGCCAGGAGGGCCAATAGGACCTCCACCAAATCCAGCAGCACTATTCTCAAGGCCTGTAGGACCACCACCGAATCCGGAAGCACCGTTGGTGTGAGTCAAAAAAGAAGGGTCAATGGCATCCGCAGCTTCTGTGACCAAATCCTGTGCTTCTGCTGGATCGTCGTTACCCCGGAAAGAACGCAACAAACGATTCAAAAGTGAAAATAAAAAGTCTTGGATAGACTTCAAGAAGCTGTCCAGGGCTTCCAAAAATGGAGCCAAAACCGTACACCCAAGCTTATCCACAAAGAACCACAAGAATCCCTCTCGAACAGCGTCTTCTCGTTCTTGATCAGAGTCAAATGACTGCTCACTCTCATCATAACTGCCTTCATCCAATTCATCACCATCATTATCAGTCCCAAGGTCCTAGAATCAAATGGCGCGAGAAATGCTACAGTGCAGTCCTAGCATATGTCCAGAAAAAGGACACCTCTCCAAAAATCCAGGGGCTTCTCCTATCAGGCCTCAAAGTATGTTTACAATCACCAAAACCCAACAAACAATCCAAGAAGATCCTTCATGGGACACACTGAAACAAGCACAAGATGCCATTGGATGGCATCATCTGTTAAAGGGGAGAATCTCTAAACAATTCAGTCAGGAACAAGACCGATATTTGAACATGAAAAAGACCGCAACCAAACGCAACAATGGACTCACATGGCTCACTGGACTCATTGACATTATCTATAAAGAATGGTGGAACTCTGGGACATGCGCAACCAAGACAGACATGGGCACACATGAGAACCAAGTCACAAAGCAAAGAAAGCACAAGCAATCCGACAACCACTCAGTTCTACGAAGCATACCAGCAAGAAGTCCCTGAACATTTGGAATGGCTATTCCAGATACCACTCGAATCGCGCATGCAACTGAATAACAAGTCATCATTCAATTTTTGAACACATGGGAACCTGTGTTACAAGAGAGTCACTACACCAAAGCCCTGGAAACAGGATAGTCGGACATTCCTACCATCCTTTTTCCTTACCCCTCCTACCCCTCAAACTTCTTTACCAACCCCAACTCTCTTCAACAAAGAGCTCGTGATTTGTGGTGAATCATGGCTCTGACCTCAGTGTACAAATCCTTAGATAGCTAACAGGCGTCGCACCCTCTCAGGAGGCCAGTGTGGCCGGTGAGCAGACTTGACTGTGGGAAATACCCGAGCCCTAGCTCGTGGGTAGTCCTCAAGCACATCTCGTCTGAATCCGTTATTAGACGTTCAGTTTTTTTTTTATCAGTCCCAAGGTCCTTCTCTCCCTTTTTCTCCACGCCCTTGGAAGAGTCATCATTTGTGTCTCCTTTCACTTCGACATCCAAAGCCAAATCCAAATCCACTTCCACCACCGTACCATCGCTCTCGCTCAAAGTAGTGCCATCGCCACCGGCAATAAGAAGTTTAGACATGACTAGCTAGTTTGTTACTTGTGGGTTGTTGTTTGTTGTGATGTGCTAGCTTGTGGCTAGGTAGTCCTTTCAATTGACGGCGACCAAGGACTGATGATTGCAAACAAAAAAATGGTAGAAAAGAATCGTCTGGCTAGAGCTATCCAACTTCCAATCGACCTGCAAACCTGGCAGCCGGTCATTGAAAAGTGACAGAAGGGGAGAGAATCGACCCTCAGCAATGCAAAATGACCGTCGAGGGCAAGCTTTAGCTAAATGATGGAGTATAATTCTCCTACTCCGAGTACGGTAAGAAGTGTTTAGTACATTCGTACTGCAAGGTACTTCTTGCATCACTTGGAAACTGGCAACGTCAGGAACGTACTCAATAAATCTGATTCTTCTAAAGGCCGCCAGCAATTAGATGCAGGATTCCTCATTAATTAATCGAGTGAAGGAAGCGAGCCAAAAAATACTACCTTTTTCTAAGATAAGAAGCATGTGCAGTTCGCTGAGACTCATTCCACCAGTACATCGTACCAATAAAACTGAGTTGCAAAATGGTTGAAAAGAAGACGAGGGAAAACACGTGGAAGCCGGACATTGAAAAATGACCGTAAAAGGAGAGAATAGACGCTGCATCACCAGTCATTGTAAAGAATTAGTGACAGTCGTGGGAAAAGTCAATTAAATATTTTAAACGATGGAGTGCGGGAATCTAAATAATTAAGGTGTCTGTTACAGTCGTCAAGGATTATGCACAGTTGTTTGTACTCGTAAGGATTGAAGGAGAAGAGGCAAAAAAGAACGTTGCTGGGACGCCCGATGTTCTTCTGAAAGTCACGCAGCAAGTGTGTATCACCTGTATTGGATGACTCATTAATTAATACATTACATCAAAGGAAAAGATATTCTAATTAAAATTTTGTCTGGGGTACCGGTTCGCAGAGACGCAACGGTCTCATATTTTTGCTTTAATTCATTTGTACTCATCGTTGCCAATCTTAAATGGGGTACTGAGTAGTCTTGTTGCCAGCAAGGCATTAATTTGCCATTGAAGTTAGAGAGGTCAGTTAAGAAAGTATTGGTGGTGCGTCACGAGTCGAGTCATAACTCAGCCCACCAATGTTCTGTACTATTTAAAATAGAGTATTCTGCAACCGCCCAACCACCCAAAAGGATGTTGAAGAACGGCCATTGACTGTGACAGCGGTGCCTTTTAAAAGTTAAGCCAGCGGAGCTGTGTAACCTCGGCAGAAAGGTTTCAGTGCAGAAGCAGATACCCCTATAGCTAGCTAACTAGAAGCAGACACCTCTAGTGCTTACCGGTAGCTAGTGCTTAACTTGTGCTTAGCTAGCTAGAAGCAAATTCCCCCTAGCTAGAAGCAGATTCCCATAGCAAGCTAGAAGCAGACACCCCTAGCTAGCTAGAATACCAGTTATATAGCTTTCGCTGGCTTTAGAGTTTTTCCTGGTAGAAGCAGATCCCCCTACTAGGATGGATGTAAATTGCTTTAGCTGGTTTGCACCATGCTAGCTAGGATACTTACTTAGTTTTTGCTGACTTATTTGTATTCTAACCCTACCCTTATACCTGCAGGGACCACCGTAGCAGGAAAAACAATTAAAGGGGTTGAGGGCTCTGGCAGCAAGACTGCCGAGGTAATAAGTCGTTACTCTAGCTACTAGCTAGCTAGCTGGCTTCTCGGGCGGAAAAGTCAGGATGTTAGAAAGTTAAATTACACACTTGGCAGCTGTCGTGGTCTGGGAGTTCGATTCCCCAGTATGACATTTTTCCATTTACAACATGGTGTCATCAAGGGTGAGGAGAATGGACGCTACGAGCAGACTGCTAGGGAGTGTGTGTACTGGGTAGAGACCAGGTTGAGCCCCTGTTTGGTCCTGGCAGGGAAGGTACAGCTTAGCATGGGAGGGTCCACCAGGAGAGTGTAGCTCCATGCGTAAGGGTACAGTTTAGAGCTCCCAAGTGAGAATTCTGGGAGGGTGTTAGAAAGTTAAATTACACACTTGGCAGCTGTCGTGGTCTGGGAGTTCGATTCCCCAGTATGACATTTTTCCATTTACAACATCAGGATTTCTGAACCAACGGGTTAGGGATAGGGCCACTCACACTGGTGTAAAATGCACCAAAATCCGGACTTTTGCTGAACGCAGGGGAGGAAGCCAGAGGATCTGCTGACATACGGCACTGGAGATCAAAACAAGCATGACCGATGTCTGCCACCAACCGGTATAACTGCTTGTGCAAAACACCTAAGCCGAACGGGTACCAGGTACCATGCACGAAGCGCTGGTCATGGTGTCTATTTAGTATTTATTTCCATTGTCATGTACAGCGATCGAGCCGAAGGCATGCAGCAACCGCACATGATCAGCAATGCATCGTCGATCATGCTTCCCTCCTTTGCTCTCCTCCCAAATGCTGATAGAGCATCAGTCTCATCGCATTCATATATTGACCAATAGATCCTACACAATACTCTTGGGATAAAAACTCGAGAGACAAACTGAACGTGACAACAACGATGAATGACAGCAATGACTCAACTCAAAGGATAGCTTGCAGCGAGGATGCGTGCAACCAACACCCTTCTATCCGTGCATCCGTCGGTACGAGGCCATCTGCAGGCTATATTCTCGCACTGACAGAGCCATCGAGTGAATTCGGAGTCTCGGAACATGTGGCCGAGGAAATTAACCGGACGGAAGACCAGCTACGGCTGCAGGAACGGTCGCACGCAGTATCAGGCATGGCGGAAGCTCAGGAGGCCAGAGTACACACCCCTTTCGAACCTAGATATCCTGCTGTCACTCATTCCTCTGCAAGAAATCAGAAGCTGAAGCAGGCTTGTGCTCGACGCAAATCATTGGGTAACTCCACCACGCCCAGTCGCGGGGACAGGTTGCTACGGGCGTCAACCGGGAGTGGAGACCTGATCGAAGAAGTGCTCCGAGAAAGGGACCGCATGGCAAGAGAATGGGGAGAGGAACACCCTGATGAAGGGAATTCAAGCAGTTGCCAACAAGAGCAAGAACAACCCAACCAGCCAGTCATTGGAGCGGTTTCTGTTCCCGGAATCGGGGTGGAATCGGCCCACGACGAGGCTCAAGACTTTCACGAGATGCACCATGACGAGGAGGACAATTGTCCAAACCTCCTCATCGAAGCAACCTTGGTTGAAGAAGCTTCGACAGAGTTTGCCACCTCTGCGCCATCCTTGTCAGACATAGAATCTGGAAATCTACCAACGTTGGCAGAAGCAAAAGCCTTGGATGACAAGGAAATGGCAACTAGCTGTCTCAGAAGCAAAACTGGAAAGCTCATCATCGCGCTTGTGCTGCTTACAATGACTGTAATGGTTGTTGTATTGACTGTTGGAATGTCCATGAGGAGAGAAACTACGGGCTCTACTTCTTCGTTTCCATCCATAGCTCCGACATCATCGTATGTCCAGAAACTTGCAAGAGATCTGAACTTGACTGATGCAACAATGTCTACAATCTCCCAGGATTTAGAATCTCCCCAAGCACAAGCACTGAAATGGCTCATTCAAGATCCAAACTACCCCAGCCTGTCTCTCCTTCAGAAAACACAACGATTCCCTCTGGCTGTCCTGTACTATTCCACTCAAGGTCAGAATTGGACAAACTCCACAAATTTCCTGGACTACCAATCAAGAGAGTGTTCGTGGCACCTTTCTGCTGGGCCTGGCACTTGTTATGATGGAATCATATCTACAATATACTGGGATGGCAACAATCTGAATGGTACAATACCACAAGAAATTGCTGTTCTAAAAGATTCTCTATCAGTTCTGTCCCTTTCGGCGAACAACCTGAAGGGAGCAATTCCTTCCGAGTTGGGTCTCATGAGTTCTATTTTCCGGCTAAGCGCGAAGGACTGTCAACTATCCAACACTCTCCCAACTGAGCTTGGAGGTTTGTTTTCTTTGGTGATGTTGGACTTTCGAAACAATTCCCTCTCCGGTACCATTCCTAGGGAGCTGGCAGCCTTAGATACCATCCATTCTGTGGAATTGTCGGCGAATGCACTTACGGGATCAGTTCCAGCTGAGATGATTCGTCAACCATCACGGTTCCACGTTGATTTATCAAACAATCAGCTTTCTGGGTCTATTCCAACTGAGTTCAACACCACCAACAGGCTTGAAGCACTGCTACTGGGCTCAAACAATATCCAAGGCACGATTCCGTCCGAGATTGGATTTGCTACATCCATGGGGCGTTTGGATCTCAGCTTTAATGAAATCTCAGGACAAATTCCCAGTGAGATCCAAGCATTGACTGGGCTCTCTTCACTGCTTGTTGGATCGAATATGATTTCAGGGGAACTGCCTACTTCTCTCGGCCTCATGCATGAGCTGTGTGAGCTTGATTTTAAAAACAACCGACTACAAGGAACAATGCCGCCGTCACTTACAGGCTTGTGTTTCGGAGAACAATCCATTACACCATCCGAGAATGCCACTCATACAACCGTCCTCGGGGTGGCTGTGTTGGAGGCTGAGTTGCTAAATGAAATCATTGGATTATTGGAACGGATAGGCAAGGAAGCTTCAAGCATTCTCACAAAGTTCGATGGATTGGAGGATGTTGTTGTGGGAGTTCTGCAGCAAAGATATGAGCTTGATGATTCCTACATCTGGTTGGATCTGAAGTTTGCCATTCAATTCTCAATCGGTATGTGACCAGGCACTGTTCCTGACTTTTTATTTCTGTTCTCCTAACTTGAAATCTCTGCTGTTCTGCTGCAGGACATCTTCCGTCAAAGGCAATGTTGACTAATGCCTTGTTTGGCTCACCTGGTATATTCTTTGACTATGAGTTTGACTCAACGAAGAGGGCTCCAATTGGTGTCTTTCAAGCTAATGTGCAGCCATTTCAGTTTGACATATCCAATAATGCAATCTCAGGCTCGTTGCCTCCATCCTTGTTTGCCAACATCCCAATGATACACCATTTCAATGCGGGATCAAATTCCCTAACAGGCATAATTCCAACTGAAGTTGGCGCTGCATCCACCATGACAATGCTATCTCTTGCTCACAATAAGATTGAAGGATCCATCCCAAGTGAACTTGGGCAATTGGGAGCCCTGACCATGCTTGATCTTTCTCACAACATGCTCTCCAATCAAATTCCACAAGAATGCCGCAACCTCAGGAGTCTCCAGTCTCTGAATCTGGGCAGTAATAGAGTTGTTGGGACGCTTGATGCTGTTTTCCAAGGAAGGTACATAAACGAGACTAATGCAATGCCTCGTGCCAGAGTCCACGGCAGCACAGCCGGAGCGGCACTATGCCATATTGATGTATCCAACAATTCTCTTTCCGGCACTCTGCCCACTGAGGTGGGGTCCTTATGCCTGAGGGATGTCTACACTGGAGACACAACGCTGACAATGGCATTGCGTATCGAGTATGACTTTTGGCATTGGATTGTCCCTGGTATGCCTGATGAGGACGTAATCGAAACGCTTCAAAATCAGACGTCCCAATTTCTGGGGAACCTATTCGGTAGAAACTTTCCTGACTTGCAATCGGTGCATCTTCGGTATTTGGATGGCTCTTTTGGTAGCAATGAGACCCACACATCACTTTCTCTGGACTTTTTGGTGGCTGTTACTACCGACGATTCACGTAAGTGGAGGATGCCTTGAAGCGGCTGACTCGCGATTGACGAACAGAAGATCTTCAGCTCACGATCCTGTCTTCTTTGCAGCAATGTCCATTCAGGATCTCGTTCGCGTGCTCGGTGACGAAGGTGCTGTACAAGATTACATCAGGTACTACATCAACTCCTATGATCTCCTCGGTTCAAGGTTTGATGGTATTACAAGTGTTGCTTTCCTGGTTGATGAAACGGTGGACCCACTTGCTACACTACCACCCGTTACCCTTGACGTCTCTTTCAATAACTTGTCGGGGAAAATTCCGTCCGAGCTGGCATACTTGAGCACTCTGGACTCACACGTTAATCTACTTGGCAACATGTTTAGTGGGGTATTGCCTATACAATTGTGTCCATGGCACTGCGACAGTCGGCACAAGAATGCATCCGAGTCGAGTGGGAATCTTATGGTGGACTGTCAGCAAGTGGTGTGCGATTGCAATTGCTCGGACTTCTAAAACAGCACGATCGAATCCTTTCCTTTGAATTGTGGTTTGGTGGACAGACGCAAGCGAACTATATCAGAGAATCATTCGTGATATTTAGGCTATTTTAAAATAGCAAAGCAACCTTTCTATGCTCCTAGCTAGTTAGTCTTAATTAAAGAGGCTCCACAGGACGACCATGAGGACGACTGGGCTCCCAGCTAACCTTGCACGAGCAGTGGATGATGGTGAGCCCCCTTCAGTCTCGTCTGCCGCGCTTCCTGTCTTGTGGCTCAGTTCCTTGGATTCCGCGTCTCCCACAGTTGAAACACCACTTTTTTTACGTCCATCATCATCAAAACCGTCATCACCGTCGTCATCACCGTCGTCATCACCGTCGCCATCACCGTCGCCATCACCGTCGCCATCACCGTCGCCATCACCGTCGCCATCGCCGTCGCCATCACCGTCAAAGCCATCGTCGTCGTCCAATCCACCAATGTCCGGATCCCGGGTATCAAAACCAAAATTACCAGGTGCACCCATGTCCAATAGCGAACTCATTCCTTCGTGAATAATGCCTTCCACAAAGTAATCCACGTCGACTCCTTCCGTGCTGAACAGAATAATGGAATATGACTTGGCTTCTGGCAGAATAAAGGCATCCGTGGCAATGCCAAATTCGGATCCGTCATGCACCATGCCATTGGTCCAATCGAGTTGTTCAAAGGGGTGCGGCCAGCCCATTGTCGCTTTTTTCTCATTATTAAGGTAACCCCAGGAGAGCGCAAATTCACAGTCCTGTTCGGATATACGAGTGCCCGTTTCATCCTCGGCTTGGCAGCCAAAGACATACTCCCACGCCGTTTCGTTGGACCACAACGTACCAACGCCATAGGAGTCTACCAACAGGTCGGCATAGGCCGCCAAATCTTGAATGGAGGAATGCAATTGTCCATCGGCATAATTGGCCCAACAGTAGTGTCCCACATCGGTCCAAGATTCCGTCGCATCGTCGTACGGATACGTGGGCATGGCGACAATGGTATCATTGGATAGATCGGTGTGGAACCATGCCGTTTGATTCATGCCCACCACAGCAAAGACATTGTCCTGTGCATAGTCGGGAAAGGCTTGTTCCGTCAGATGCTCTACCAGAGCCGCAATGTATCCCACGGCTACATTGGAATATTCTTCTCGTTGACCGGGTGGGTAACTGGCATTCCATATCCCTCCAACGTCTTGCTCGGCGAGAGAGTACCAGTGGACGTTGTATCCATCACTCTGTCCGACCGTCGTTTCCGTGTCTTTATCGACTAGTAAATCCTCGTAAAACTGTACCACATCATCAATGGGACAGGTTGGATTTCCCGCCACTTCCACAATGTAATTGACACCGGTGGGACCATACGAGACTTCCACGTCACCGGCAGCCCTCGGTAATCCTCGTACCATGGAGGATCGGTGTGTGACGATCATGCGCCACGTGACGGGAATATCGGGGTAGGCAGGATTCCGACAGGCCGTATTGACACTACCATCCGCCAGAGTGGGTCCAGTATCATTAAAGACATTGCAAATGTCATCGTCCAACGACGACAGGAGACCTTGTTCGAGCAACGTCCCCACGGCGGCTCCTGTAAATGGCTTGGAGAGCGACGCCAGCTGAAACGCCGTGTCCGTTTCCATGGGAGGCGAATCATCGCTGGATGCCGTCAACCCGTACGCCCCCAAAACGGGGCCGTCCATTCCAGGGCCTCGAAACGCATACGCCGCGCCACGAATCTTGGCAGCTTGCAACTCACTGGCAATCTTGCTGTGAAACGCAGCGATCTTGTCTTCCGTAAGACCAAACACTGGACGTGATGATAATGATAGCAAGAACAATAAGGACCAGAAAGCCACTGCGAGAGTGGAAGGAAGAGGGTTTGTCATGGTCAATGGAGGCTCAAAGTGTTTTCGAATTTTGGAGGGGTTATTAAAATTTTGTGAGAATGTGAGAAAGTCATTCGCACCGGGCCCTCGTTGAACTTCCGAATGCTCTGCATTGTCCGTAAACGCCACTTCAATTAATTTTGACAATTGCAAAAGATGTGAAATACATTTCACTACATTTCACTAATCTTAAATGAAACTTTAGTTTCACGAAACATTGGAAACAGAAACGTGAAATAGAAGCTACCTTTACTCATCTCCGGACATCGTTGCAGGATCTTGAGCGGGATTTTTAGTCGAGAAATGAAATGCCACAACAATGTCTAATCAGGCCCATGCCAAGCACTAATTCAGGCCCATGCCTCGTATGCATATACCGGTATACGCGAGCTCTCTATAAACCAGCCAGGGCTGTGAAACAGGAATCTAGATGGGGCCAGTGGTTGTGGATTCGATTCGATTCACTGCAGCGCCGGGGCAAATCAAGTGCCGGCTGATGCCCATGATTTTGTTTTCTCCCGGTGCAGGGATCAACCAATGTACGTACCGGTAAGGATTCGATTCCAGTGGGGCTAGCTATGTATAGCCATTGTGCACGTTGCAGTGGAGCGATACCAAGTCACCAAGTAGAATCTATTCTTGTGATACACAAACTAACTGCTTCTCACAACTCATGACGCCCAAAAAAGAATGGGGGAATCTTTCATGCGGAGGTTCACTACACCATCTTCCACCAATCCACTGGGGGCGGCCGTATATAATATACAATGATGTCATACATGATGAGAATTCTATAGTCATTAGTAAGATCAGAGCATCTGCTCTACCAGCAAGCTAGCTAGTAACGAGAACTATCCATGCCGAGGCTAAGGTTGCTACAACTCATTTCGTTGTCATCATAGTCAGCATGCTCCTCGACAGTAAGTCCATTTCTGCCATAGGTGTATGGCGTGTAGGCTGCTTTCGTTTCTTTCAGCTGCTTCTGGAGTCGCCAGAGAATGTCGTCCTGGAAGCGCCCATGCTGGTCACTCTTTTTGCTTGGTCGCCTTTCCGATACTACCACATGTTTTCGGACTGTTGGAGTCTCTTCTTTTCGAACTGTTGGAGTCTCGGTTGGGGCGTCTTCTGTGTTTTCTTCGTGGGGTTCAGAATCGATACCCATCAAACGCAACAACTCCTCCAAGTTGAAACTATCCAGTCCAGCCATTGCCTCCTCGAGTTCATCCACGTCAATTTCAAGCATTGCTTCGATATCCTCTTCCGCACTCTTGCTTCGGTTGAGGATTGCCATGACTAACTGATTGTTCATTGTCATTTCCTGTGGTTGGTTGGGTGGGGAAAGGGTTCTTCTTGTTTCTGTGCTTTGTGAATTGTGAGGGTTTGGATGAAACACTGATGGTGCTGTGCTGCAGCCTCCAGACAGAGCCACTCAAGGATAGATCTCTGCAGTATCTTACAGGAGCTCGCGGGGCCTAAAACATCGTACTGATGAGAGACCAGAAATGACTCCTACCGTACCATGGAGCTGCCAGGTACTCCTACCGGTAAGCAGATCTTATTAGTGTGCTATCCTTCGAGGAACTCCCTGCCTCCCGGAAATACCCCTGCTTTCCTTTCAAGCCAAAGGGAAAAGGAGAGGAATTTGAGGAAAAGGAATTATGGTAGTGCCTCACGTAGAATTAAACTGAGTCACAATTAGTGACTAAGTAAGTCACGCTCAGGACTGGTGTGCCCCAATTGGAAATTTTCAAGGAGTTGGGGAATTACTTTGCTGGCCTTGGATTGTGACCACTCTGGACGGAGTGGAGGAATGCAGGAATAGGAGTACTAGTAGCCGAATAGCACCCAGACTAAAAGAGCCCAAAGCAAGTTTCGACAATGACAGACTTGCAGAGAAGGTCACTTTCTTCACAGAGATTTAAAAGGACAGAGCTACAGCAAAGCGGAGCAGGAATAGAAGACTAAGATGCAGACAGTTCTCTGCAAGGAGTACTTGGCTTGAACCGGTACCAGGTACAAGCCAGTTTGGTGCGGAGGCACTTGGAGCCCAAAAAGTGTGCAACGTGGGCACGGGCAAGAGGAAAAAGATCCAGCCGAGCCTGGCATTGGGTCACGATGGGTTTAATAAATTTTTCTCTTCTTGATCTTTGGGTCATGGCCTGGGTCTGAAAGGGGAAGTACCTTCTAACTAAGTTTTTACTGTCTTTCAATGGTGCCATCTTTAAAAAGAGGATAAAATAAGATTTATTTAATGATTTGGGCCACACTTTTCGACTGAAACCAACGAACACAAAGCGCGAACAGGTCTTCTCTTTGCATGTTGCCTTGCCACGCTTCGACCACGTACCGTTTGCATGTACAAATAGCTGTACAAATCACAAATGCCAGCGTTCAGTTAGCCTGCTGGTCGAGTCTCATGCCCCCTCGAACAGATGTTCAAGAGGTTGGTGGTGGTGAGGAACTGGTACCAGTACCTGCTAGCTAGTATCTAGGTACCGGTAGCTATCGGTAGCTGCAGGTCGAGTCTTGATCATGCCCCCTTCGAACGGATGTCCAAGAGGTTGGTGGTGGTGAGGAACTGGTACCTGCTGGCTAATATCTACTCAGGTGTGTCGCGGAAAGGACATAAATGCATTGGGTAGCTTTACAAGGGCAATAGAGATGCGGGCATCATTTGAGAGTAGGAAAACTGTGTTTTGCTGGCAGCCATGCACTTTTTCGAAAAACAAATGAGGTGCTCTTGATCTCTTCCCCTAGTTTTGCTCCATATCGTTCCTGTCCTCCTCCCTTGCCCCCTCTCCTTCTTTGGTTTCGATGTTGCCATGCTTGCCCCCTCGATTGTTCGGCTCGCATTCCTGCATCCTGCCCTCCTCTCTCTGCACCCCATCCTCGCATAGTTCCCTCCAAGCCATATTACTTCCCACTTGAAAGATCAAGGGAACATGTGTCAATCCAGCTACTGGTACCTGTGATCCTGGTGTTGCCAAGGAATCAATGGATTGCGTCACAATACACCAAATGTCAATGTGCCCGACATAATGGTTGCCTGGCTTCAGTCGAAACGAAACGAACGATTGCATCCTGTCAGACAATGGACCAACTGTATTCTTCCATTTGTCATACCGCACACAGCAACTTTTAAGAAGGGTTGTACGTTACCTTGCTTGTTCAAACCAACCAACGGTCCAAGAGCGACGAATCGAATCTATCGTAGCAGCTGCAAGACTAGAGAATCGGCAACTCGGGCTCCAACAAATTGATTGAAGACACCCACCAAAGCTTCCCCAGAAATGCCAAACACACCCATGCCAGAAGCCAGAAGACAACAGGCGTGGACTCGAATCATAGGGTGGCGAGCCTCAAGCCAGGTGTCTCATTGTGGGTTTGTCTCTTTCCTTGTGGTGCGCTGTAACAATAGAACAACGCCCACAGGCCATCGCCATCGACAAGTTTTGCACTACCTCGACGATCGGCTCAAGGCAAAGAAACCATAGAATGACAAGGCAAAGAAACCATGCAGAGCGAGCAGCTTGTGGTGGCTTCAACTTGCGTGCGGGCCCGGTGTCTTCAAAACGCACTGGACACTTTCTTCAATTCAGATGACACTGATTGGTTGGACTTCACTCATCTCCGGACAAATGTTGTTGAGCGGGAATTTTAGTCCAGAAATGCAAACAAACAAAAGAGAGCCCAGACTGAATCTAGCTTCGTAATCCAGCCCATGCTGTCAAACTGGTATTCTGCTGGGATGGCGCTTTACGAATATTCTGCGGTGCCTGTGCTGCGGGAAGAGGTTGCTGGAAATCAAGGAGTGCTGCATGGGGCTCATGATTTTGGTTGCTCCCTGATGAGCAAGTATCAATCAAGGATTCCAGTGCTGGAGCTTGCGCTTGTGGTATTTCCAGTGATACGGTGTGTTGTGGTGGCTCCAGTGCTCTGGAGCAGGTCGTTGTGGGAATCCAGCTCTGGGGCCAGCCACGCTTCTGGATCTCGGTGGTAGACTGTCTTGGGTGACTGCCATCTACAGACTAGAGATTGTGTGTGGGGCCCAATGTCGTAAGCGGCTATAGCCACCTAGAAGAGGAGGAGCGATACTTAGGGAATTGAGTCTAGCTAGGTCCAGCATAGCGATCACAGCCCACCACCAACCAAGTCACCAAGTCGAATCCATTCTCTTCCTATGAATATGGCACCACTCTGCGATGATGGGCTCCATTCGATTACCCGGATCACACGACCTGGGCCGACAGCGACGACTGTTACGATTGTCCGAGCACTCTTGCAAATTGGTGTGGCTCCCATTCTCGTACTTTTCAATGTAACCGCTCTTGCTCCTGAAGACATCGCTATGAAATCATACCGAATGTGCCAGGAAAGCATGATCTCCGACGGGGACCACAAACAAACTGCCTCTCACAACTCGTGCCACTCAAAAGGAATGACTCCAAAAAGACGATCTCTATTACATGCACCTTGTCGGAGGTTCACTACACCGCCGTCCAATCCACACGAGCAAACGAGGACATGCACTGGTGAAGGCGTGTGTATAACATACATGATGAAACATTTTGTAGTCATTAGTAAGACCAGAGTATCCGCTCTACTAGTAGCTAGTAATAAGGACCATCCGTGCTGGTGCTGAGCTGGCTGGTCTCATTGTCATCATAGTCAGCCTGCTCCTGCCCCCCATCGACAGCGAGTCCATTTCTGCCATAGGTGTATGGTGTGTAGGCTGCTTTTGTTTCTTTCAGCTGCTTCTGGAGCCGCCGGAGAATGTCGTCCTGGAAGCGCCCATGCTGGTCACTCTTTTTGCTTGGTCGCTTTTTGGATAGTGCATGTTTTTGGACTGTTGGAGTCTCTCCTTTTTGGATTTCTGCTGTCTCTCTTGGGGCTTCTTCTGCGTTTTCTCTGTGAGGTTCGTCATCGAGACCCATCAAACACAACAAATCCCCCAAGTTGTCAATATCCAGTCCAGCCAATGCCTCAAAGTCATCCACGTCAAATTCAAACACTACTTCGCTATCTTCTTCGTCTTGTTCGTCTTGTGCTACCTCTTCTTGTGCTACCAGCACCTCTGCTTGTGCGACCTCTTCTTGTTCTTCTTGCGTGTCACGAGGTGCACTGAACACAGCAGTCTCGATAAATTCCGCAGTCTCTGAGAATTCTTCAGTAAGGCTCATTGCGGAGGTTTCATCTAGATCCTGCTTATTGGGTGGGGAGTTGCTCTTTTCATGCTTGGTCAAGTGCAGCAAGGCAGACAAGAGACGTGCGGTCTTCTTGTTCATTTTCATCTCCATGCTCTTTCCGCTAGAGGTGGTGGTGGGGGCACTTTTGTTTCTGTTGAGGCTTGCCATGGCTAACTTATTGTTCATTGTCATTTCCTGTGGTTGGGTGGGAGTTGTTCCTCTGTTTTTCTTGTGTCTGTGCTTTGTGAATTGTGAGGTTGGATGTTGGATGAAACACTGATGGTATAGTGCTGCTGCATCCTGATCAGACAGTGCCAATCGAGCATAGATCAGTGCATCCTGGGTACCAGTACCTTCCAGGATTAAGCAGGCTGAGAGACACACACGAGAGACTAAAACAAGTTTCCAGAGTACCTCTATGCTTATACCGCACCGATAAGATAACTCTTTTCTGAGTGGAGTACTGAAAGTATCTTTTTTAAAAAGGATTCATCAACAGCCACACTGAATCATTATCTTACAAGCAGCCCAAACTCAGTATCTTTCATATGTCATAGCCACTAGCAGCTATTGTCACTTACCCTAATACTAACCAAGCCCTCAGACAAAGCCGAAGAAGGCAAAAGCGCAGCTAATGAACGATTGGATTTGGATTTGTTTGAGTCGGAGAGCGTCCTAATGCTTCCCAGCGCCACGTTCTTGTGTCTCAGTCTTTTGCTCAAGCTAACAAAGAATTAGTCGCAATGATGAGCTTCACGTTGGATGCTTCAGGAGGACTGACTGGGATGTTGCTGATGTTGGATGGCTCTGGTGACAATATCCAAATCTCAGTACTCAACATCTATCTCGGATGTTCTTAATATCAAGGGAGCAATGTAGAGATGTTAATTAAGATAGTACCATCAAGCATGTCATGGCGCGATTGGACGAAACCACATTTATAATCCCTTTCCCCACCCTCACGAGTCCAATACCTAAATAAATTTTAAAAATAGATCTTTTGTGCCCCAGTCTCAGAGATTTATTTACAGGTCCATGGAGTAAACCTGTTCTGCTGAAGAATCCACGACTTGCCAGTTTAGCGTTCGTACTCAGGCGTGTCGCGGTATGGATCCAAGTCTGTGCCGTACAATCGTTCTGATACGCTTGGGCTCCAACAATTGAAGACACCCACCAAAGCTTCCCCAGAAATGCCAAACACAGCCATGCCAGAAGACAACAGGCGCGCACTCGAATCCTGGGGTGGTGAGCCTCAAGCCAGCAGCCTCCTTGTGGTTTTGTCTCTTCCTTGTGGTGGGTTGTACCAGTGGAACAACGCCCACAGGCATCGCCAACGAAAAGTTTTGCACTACCTGGATGATGGCTCAAGGCAAAGAAACCATGCAGAGCAAACTCAGCTCAGTGTCTTCAAACCGACATTGGGCGCTTACTTCGATTCAGAAGACACGGATTGGCTGTGCAAGCGCGGAACACGGACGATTGTGTGGTCGAGAACCTCCCTGATTTTTGTCCTGACATCCTACTAATGTCTGCTACAACGTGGTTTCAGAACGCGTTGAACTCTCGCAGTACTAATATAATAGCGCCCAACTGAGCATTGCCCTTGCTCGAGAGCTCCCGGCATTGAGGCCCTCTTGATCTCTATCGCTAGTCTTCGCCCTTGATGCATTTTACGTCTTCCTTCCCTTCCCTTTTCCTCCTCCTGTTGACTTGTGCAATTGGCCTGCAATCCTAATTGTCCAGCTCCCGCCCTTGCACCTTGCCATGATCCTCTGGGACCCATTCTCACCCATAGTCCCCTCTAACCCAACTTCGTTTCGAATGCATAGCTCTTACTTGAAACCCCATCCTCCCATCAGTAGCGTAGCCATGACCACGAAGTAGCTTGGGACCACAAACCAACGACCAATCCAATCCACATTGGCATGGCTTCTGTCCTTTGTTGGATCAAAGCGATTTACCCTATGTTCCTGGGCTGGTTTCTCTTCTTCCTCTGGTTCTGATTGGGCCTTGCCACGCAGTTTGCGAAACGGAGCCATGACTCGGTAAAAACTGGCACCAATCCTCCCATGGAAGCTTGTCCCAGACAAGAAGTCGTCCTCATCCTGTTCCAAGGATGTTCGTTTATTGGCATGCACGGTTTCATATCCCAGGACCGACTTGTGCATGGACGACACACCCATATCATCCCCCGCGAATGTGCCCCAGGAGTTGCTATTATTGTTATTGCCCGGTGATTTTTGCAACGGCGGCCCCTGCTCTAGATCGATTTCGTTTTCTTCCTCTGCATCGTGCCCCGAAAACTTTAGTATTTCCTTTTCAGCCGCTCTCCGCTTGCTGAGGATGCTATCGCTCGATATGGCACTGTGTTTGGTGCTTTCTCGACTGGTCATGATACCACCGAGTAGGCTGGCGTGGCTCTCTCGGGGTCTGTAGCTGTTCCTGGCCTTGTCGCTGATACCATTAACGACGATTTCATCGTCCTCGAAAAATTCGAGTTCGGCACGGAGCGTTTCCAATTGATCTTCCAGTTTCAGCCTTTCCGCAGCTCGAGCATCCAAGGGCCCCTCGTGGTGGTGCATGACAGATGCCGAAACGACCTGAACGTCCCTTACCACTTTTTTTGGGTGACAGGGCAAGCATAGTTTGTTGACTTGGGCCCCCAAGCGGGTGGTGCTGCTGTACGAGAACCATGTAATGAGCATGACCGATGCCAGGTAACTAATGTTGACCAACATGAATACTTCTGTCCAAGTAATATCGGCCGTATCGGGCATTTCAACCGTCTCTCGAAAGGCGAGCGCACAGAGCAGGGACGTAATGCCCAATGCGACACTTTCCGGTAGCTCGGGAATCCAAAATGCCATGAATCCAATCAAGTTGATGAGAATGGCCGGTAGAATGAGCCGCATGTAGGTGGTAAAGGGCCGTCGGACAAAATTGAGATTGTAGTGGACGACTTGGACATTGTTGCTTGCACTACCACTCGTCGTCGTCTCGTTGTTGTTGTCCCCGTAAATGGCGTGCGTGGTTGCGTAATGAGGATCACTTTCAATGACTTGAAAACCAAAACTCTGGTCCAACGTGACCCCCTTGGGAGCTCCCAAATCGATGGAACAATTGTATGTGTCAAAGGGGAAATTGCGTAGCTCCTCCGTGGTAGAGCACAAGAATTGTGCATTCATGTTGGTTTCCATAATGACGGTTCCGTCGTGCGTGAGCATGGCCGGTGCCGTGTACAATTCCGTGTGCATGAAATCATTGGCAAAGTAGAGTCGTGGCGTCCAGATTTGTTGCGGATCAATGGGCAAATCATCGTCATAGACAATGGGATGCCATCCCAGTCGAGGATCGTGCCATTTCATGCGCAGCCAAAAGACGGCTTCGAATTTGCCATCAAAAGGGTCCATTTCGGTAATGGTAACGCCAAACAATCCTGTGGATACTTGGACTTGTTCGTAGGGTGGAAATGTGGGATCGTACCCCGCCAGTAGATTGCTAATGAGATATCCCGCCCGATCTCCCGATACAGTCAAGGCTTCCGCTTGTACGGTCATGGAATCGGGTGGCAATCCCACTTGGGACTGGATGGCACCGGTGGAATTCAACCCCGTCTTTTGGACATTCCGTACAATGGTCCCAATGGCTCTCCAAATGCCCAAATTGGGATAATGTACCAATTGATCAACGGTAATGAGAATTTTGTGTTGGGCGAGTAGCTCGGGATAGACATTGTCCCATCCAGTGGTGGTGACGGCCGTGTATTCGGAATCCGTCAGGACATCTTCCGCCACGAGTAGTATCTTTTTGGCAATGTGATCCGAGACGGTCATGATGACATCGGGGAGTGGATTGAAGAGGAGCGTGGATTCCATTTCTTCGCGTGTGGCATTGTCATAGAGACTCCAAAGTATTTGAACCTCCGTTTCGGGACAAGCTTGTTGGAAGGCTGCCAATGCCAAATCAACTCGGTACGTTTGGGGCGAAGAATCTCGTCCGGCACTATCGAGTTTGGCAACTTTGAGCGGTGATTTGGCTCCCTTGAGTCTACAGAGTTCCTTGCCATTGCTTTCCGCAACCTTGTATTCGTCCCATTGAAAGTACAAGTAGAGAAACTCGTTGGGATCCGTGAGATGGTGTTCTGTCAGATTGAAACCGCGTCGATCGAGTGGATCTTCCTTGGCATGAAAAAACGCCATGCCCTTGCGTAGTAAATTGGCCACCGGTGTCCAATCACTTTCCAATCCGACTCCCACGGTAATGACGAGCGTTTCATTGAGGGCATCTCCCGCAATTTCTTCGACCATTTGCAGGGCAGCCAAATGAAATTCACGGGTCCACCATATTACACCCTCGGTAGAATCGTATCCCGGTGGACAAATGATTTGGGGGCGGTGGTGCAGGGTTTCCATTCCCGCATCGATAAAGGGTTTGTACCAATTGAATTCATTGCCGCAATCTCCACCCAAAAAGAAAATGTGTTGGAATTGAAACGGCACGCCACGACGGAAATTCGTGGGGTGGACTACCGGTACCACCACCGTAGTTTCAGTTGTTGTATTTGGGTTGGAGGTAGCATTATTGGAGGAGGGCTGGGTGATTATGGAAAAGGTCGTAGCTAACTCACGTTCTTTCGTTCCTTTGTCTTCCTTTGCAGGCAGAGAAAGTTCGGCACACTTGACCGTGGTTCCATCGCCATCGCCATCAAGGGATGATTCTTGGACTGCCGAAGCCTCTGCCGCAGCAACCAAGAAGGGCGTCTCCAGTACTCCAAGCCAGCAACCGACAAGGAATAGCACCATCCATGGCAATGCGTATGGACGACCACGGCTGAGGCTGCTGCCAACTCTCATTTTCAAGGTTAAGTCTCTTGGGTATACCTTGGGTAGCTAGATATAGATAGATCGATCGATAATTAGATAGATAGATGCTTTCAGTTCAGAAGTGCTGTTCGAATATTCCCAGCACAATCGCCGGTATGCATGCATTCATACAGCTACAGTACGTCTTCCGCCTTTCATTAGCAAAAACAAGAATGTTTTAGAACGGAATGCAATGAAAGCGCTGCCGCATGACAAAAAATAGAAGATACTGTAGAAGATGGCTTGGTTTTTGCCATGAGGTCTGAGGGCTCACTGATTACTGGTACTGCCAGTGCTATCTAAACATCTAAACGTGTACCAATACAGGTTCTAATTAAATACTCAGTATTGGAGTAGGATTTACCTACAGCAGCTAAGCTTTTGGTACCGGTACTTATGGAACCCGGTTTAAAGGGTACTCAATCGGACTCGGAGTACAACTGAATTCTTATCAAGGCGTCTTATTAGTTAGACATGTAGCGCACTTTAGACAGGCACAGCTGTACTACCGGTTAAAGGTAGGTAGCACGGTCACAGGAAGACATTATTAGGTAGAGGGGTCACCATAAAACTCCAGACTTGGATATGAGAAACTCCACTATAAGAAAGCGAGCCCTGAGATTTTAGAAAATGTTAAGAAATTCTTCATACTGAAATATCACAGACTGGTAAGAAAGCTTCCCAGTATTGAGACCTCAAAGCATATGAAATACCACTTGTCTGATATCATGAAAATGCTTCAAACTTGTGCCTCAATATGCAAAAATTCTGCAGGGACAGTGATCACCATCTCTATTTGTTTCAAACCAATTCACGAGGCCTGAGCAACTTGGACGAAAAGGGCCAGGTGCACTGACTGGGGTATCCAAGTACTGCTCTGTTTGACCTCTAGAGAAGCATAGTAAGAAAGTCTTCTATGCTGAAATTGGCTTGTTTTGTAAGAAACAATCTGAGGGGCCAAAATGGTGAGTGCTGCATGGTAAGAAAGGCTCAGGGCAGCATTGAATTTAGAGACTTCTTATATGTGAGTTTGGAGTGTACAGAGTAAAATATTGTTTTAACACTCTATAATGCATCTTCCGGTACAGCTGTAATCCCTTCTTGAAACTGCCTTTGACCAAAAGACAGCTGTTAAGACATGGGAATCTCAAGCCCGCTCTAGCTTGGCTGTGGATCTCCAAAACACTCAAGGCCAGCCTCCTGTCTGCTTGCTACACAAGCTACGATGTTAGCTAGTGTTATGCCATAGCTACAGATATCGACCCGACGTGACTCTTTTGGAAACTCCAGACGAGATCGAGTGGCTGAGAAACGCTCGATGAAACGTTTAACTCAGCTAGAGGCTAGGCATCAATTATTAGGTAGATGTCTTTCTCAATCCCACCAAGAAGATATTTAAAATAGAAGGATGGATAAAATAGTATTGTGTGTTCCTTTCAGCTTGGAAGCAAACTGAACCAAGACAAAGTATCCATAAACCCTTTTAGCCCACACAATTGAGAATTGTTGCACCCCATGTTGCTCATCCTGAAGAAACGAGTTGATCCCAACACAGAATCTAGAAGATCGTGGAGGTCGCGAAAAGTCGTTAAAGTCGCGAATGACGTTAAAGTCGTAATAACAGTCGCGCTAATTTGCACTAAATAGCCTCAAATCGCGCTAGTCGAGATTAAAGTCGTTCCAAGTCGCGATTTTGTAGCAGTAAAAAACAATTAAAGTCGCACTAAGTTGCTCTAGTTGCGCTAGTCGTGGTTTCTAAGTCGTGATTTCACGCTACAAGTTGCGATTATAAATCGCGACTTAGAAACCGCGACTAAAGCAAATTGCGCGACTAAAGTCGCGAAAGTGACGTCACAACTCTAGGTCCAGTTGTAACGATTCGAATGGATGCTAACCTTGCGGGAGATTCCAGAATCCTTACTCTAGCTAGTCTAACTAATAATAAGCTCTACTAGCTAGCTAGCTAGCTAGAGATCTAATAAAAGGCCCTTTACATCGGCAGGTAGACTGCCTGAGATCTCAACCCCTTTACCTCGGTCTATCTGCCTGAGCCCTCCACCCCGAATTTGGAAGGTGGGTGTACACGACATATAGGTGCAAAGGAGAGTCTCCCAGGACAGTCATCACAACCTACCAAGTGGTCAAAACTGATCCATACACAAGTGGGCCAACAACATATGCAAAGTTTCCTTACAAGGCACCCTCTTCTGGTGGCAATGCTCTACTCCACCAGCGTCCAGCTGCTCCAGCTTCAGCCTCCAATCACTGCTGTTCGCAACCTTGCTTCTTCCCATGGGATTACCTATGTCCTCTGCTGATGTCCCTGTTCTAGCCACTTGAGATTTTATACACGCCATTCCCAATGTTGGGTATGATTTCGATTCATGCAGGTCAAACATGGCAGCAGTTAGATCTCAGCTTATGAGACCTCCGCTCTCTCAGCTACCTCAATGGGTCTTTCATGTTGATGCTTCGGCAGAATAACGACACTTGGCAACAGTGTTCTCATTGCCTATTATTATTGCCCCATTGTCTGCTCTCTTTTCTCGGGTCTATTCCTTCTTCTTGTATTGGAGGGAGTAAGATGAATCTGCTATGCAGACATTTATCCCCCAAAAAAAAATTACAACTCGAATTCCAGCCCTGATCTCTTTGAGGGAGCACTTCTCCTTCCAGTCTCAACCGCTAAACACATGGGGATGTTGTCTCTGCTCCAATATCTTTCCCGACCATATCCTCGATTGGACTGTATGTCTCCGGGTGCGGAATGGTGTGTTTGCTTTCTTTTGTTTTACAACTTCTTCTAAATTCAAAGTTTATACCATTCTTCAGTGGCTCTCTTGCATCACCAAACTTTTCTTCCACGCTTCAATCGGCCAAACATTTTGATCCCTGATCCAGACCACAGACTACATACTTGTCAATTCCAAAAGTATTCTTCGGACCTGTGTACACCGATTCCTTCTTAAGCTAAATATACTCTTAAGGACACCTATGCGTCTCTTCTCAACCCCAACCCAACCAGGCTTCCTCGCAAATGTCGGGCCAACAGAACCCTTCGAGATACAACTGATGGGCCTCCTTGGAGTCATTGGAACTCAGTCGGCTGGGGCACAATCATTCCAGCTCTCCAGTGATCTGGCCTTTAGAAAAAGCTTCGAAGCTATCGATCAATGCAGGGAAACTGAAGACCCACATCTCACCGCACACACATGCTGCTCTTCCAACAACGCATCCATCTTCTACAGAATCCTTTGCCCAAGTCACTTCTTATTGCCCATCAATTCTTCAGTGCTATTGTGTTAGTGGATGTTCCTATTCGCTCACCAATACTTTCAGTGACTGTTGACCCCAAATTCTATCAGAAAGCATTTCCTGAACCAATTATCCTAGGGGGTATCGCTGGAGGTTTGAGCTTATCGAGTACATCGGTATTACTGATTGGGAGACCTTTGGATGAGCAAGCAAAGTTGTGTCAGTTTCGGGAGCAGGTTCTTATTCATCCTGATCTTCCAAAACAGACTCCTAAGCCCTCAATGCTTTCTTGTCCCATCAAAGGACTTGAACCAAAACACATGCAAACCCAGCGATCACTTAGAGTCTACCACGACCATGCTGAATGGATATCGTGAGGAAAGAAAATACTACAAATGAAGTTGACTCCAGTTTTCTACCACGACTTACTCTGATTCCCAAAGGAAAGGCACTCTCTTCTCCTACAAGCAATGACTTCAGTTTACATACCAACAACAGATACCTTTCTATTTTTGACATAATCTGGCTGCAATGGCAATACAAGTTGGGACATCTGTCCTTCGTCCATGTCCAATCTTTGGGTGGGTGGTTTCTTAGACAAGAAGGGTCTCCGGTTTGCTTAGAAGCAAAGGTCGGGAGCACCTAAATGTGCCGCCTTGTCAATATGAAAACAAGTCAGGCAACATGATCAACCAATGTCACCAAGAAGCTCCAGACAAACAGGGAGCGCTAAAGAAAGAACAATTGGAGCCGGTATGACAACCTTTAGTGATCAATTGGAGTCAAGAGTCAGAGGGAGATTGTTTCAACTGCGGAAGGAACAAATAGAATAAATTCTGTGGAACCTCAATATTTTGTGATGCTGCATCGGCTGCATCTTTGCCACACCAAGTTACATTAAATGCTTCTGTTCTATCATGGCCAAGGAAGCATACGACGATGGTGTCTCGAACATGGGGGTTGGTTCAATCATATCACACTGACAATGGCATTACAAAAGCCAAGCATATGTCCAACATCTTAGGGACCACCATCATCAATTAAATATTCTGCGACCGGTGCCAAATGGCAGAATGGGGTTTCTGAGGGAGCCATTAGAATTGTAGTAACCAAAGCTAGAACAATGATGATCCATGCTGCACTTCTATGGCCGGAAGTTGATGATGAATCCCTGTGGCCCTGGCAGTCTCTCATGCAGCTCCCTTTACAACCACACTCCGAATTCAGTTACTGGCATTGCTCCCATTGAGATATTTTCAGAACTTCAGTGATGGTCAAGTCATCAGGAATGCCCATCCATGGGGATGCCCTGCATATGTTTTGGAACCCCGGCTTACCAGTGAAGGAGAAAGATTCCAAAATGGCAGCCAGGTCCAGGAGAGGACAATATGTTGGACTCACCTGTCCATTCAGAAATATTGGCTTGATCCGCAACTTACAACCGGTACCTTTCCCCTCAGACCATCTTGTCTATGATGATGGTTTGAACAGTTACTCTTCAGAAGATCAACCACCTCTAGAGTGGAACAAAATGTGCATCTTCCAACGTTCGAGACCTATTTTGATAGAGGACACTCCACCTCCCTTAGCAGACGAGTGGCTTACTCCAGAGAAAAGGCCATCAACAAGCATCCATCTCATCTTCAGAAGCTTCGACATGGGAGAAATTATGGCAGGATGACAAGAGCAAAGATAAAAGGGATGTCTTCATTTTCAAGCTCCTTCTCCAGCACAGCCCCAGGTTTCACACAGGGAGATATCCAGATCGTCTGCCACCACTTCAGACTCAAAATTACCCTCTTCTTGGGACAGGGAGCCTCCCACCATCAGCACTCCACCCACTGATGTCCACTCGAGCCATCTCTGCCCCTCGTCGTAATCCTAGTAGAACAGCCACAGCAGAAGCCTGAGACTCTGAACATGGACCAAAGTTGAAGACATATGCGCTGCCTTCATCCCTGTTGAGTTGTGCTTTGGCTTTACCTTTGGAGTTACTCCAATTTCTGGGCACATGATGCAAACTCAGGTGAATGGTTATTCACCTTTGACAACACCAGGAATCATTTCATCCTGGCATTCTTCAAAGCCCACTGGCTCTCAAGGCCAAAATTTCAAAAGACCCTAATCTCCCCTCTCTGAAGGAATCTTGATGGGACCACATGCAGACTTTTCTGGGCAGCAATGGACAAAGAAATTGCCAGCCTTGAAGGCAAAGGGACTTGGCACATCGTACAACGTTCTTCTATGCCCTCACACCTAAAGGCGGTTCCTGGAACATGGGTGCAACGAATTAAGAGGTTACCAGACGGACAATTAAATAAGTTCAAATCTAGATGGTGCTGCAGAGGAGACCTTCAGTCCTATGAAGGCGTCGCGTACTCTCCACTTGTTGGTTGGCCCACCGTTAGAGCCGGTCTTCTTCTTGCAGCTGCACATGGATGGGAATGAGACAAGTTGATTTTACTCTTGCTTTCTGTCAAGCCCTCAGCCTGTCGACCAGCACTGTACATGGAATTGCCTCAGTACTATCGACCCAAAGGCTATGAAGGCAGACTGTGTTTTGAAACTTGACAAGTCCATCTATGGGCAGACGATTCACCTAAATTATTCTTATGAGCATCTATGTCGCGGGATATCCAACTTGGTTTCGAACCTCGGCAGCAGACCCAGTTTGTTTATTCATAAGGAGCATCAACTCATGGTATTAAATATTGTGATTGACCAAATCGGCTCAGTCCAGACAATGATCTGATTGAGTCTATGTTGTGCAGCTCCAGAAACTTGTTTATGACCTCACCATGGAAGAAAAAAGGTGAGATCTTTGGATTCCTCTGCATTTAATTTTGAAAGACAAGGGAGACAATGTTGAGCTTACTCAAAAGGGTCATCAAAAGTCATGGATATACTGGAATGTCTGACGCTAGCAAGAAGCTTTCTCCTGCCGCACCGATCCTCTCGGAGCTGACAAATTGGGGGCCCCATTTGAAGAAGAGTGGAGCTATCAGCTGCAGTTGGGATGCTTTATTTATATTGCGTCGAACATTCGCCCAGACATCACATTAGTGTGCACCAGGTGGCACGATTCAGTCACAACCCCAGGCATTCCATGCTCAAGCAATTAAACGTATCATTCGGTATCTGATTGGCACAAGTGACAAAAGGCATTTGTTTTAGCCTAAACTTGATCAGGGACTGACTGTTGGGTCGATGCTGACTTCCCCGGATTGTATGGATATGAGGATGAACAGGATCCTGTGTCCGTCAAGTCTCGCACTGGATTGTTCCTGACTCTGTTTGGGTGCCTATTATCTGGTCGAGCAAGCTACAGACTGATATTACTTGAGCTCCACTGCTGCTGGTATTTTGCCTTCAGCATGTCAAGAGGGAGCTGCTTCCTATGCGGCTTTGCTCAAAGAAATTGAAGCAAACTGAATATGCAGTAATTACTGAAGTCTGTGCGCTCTACAGTGTTCGAAGACAACAAGGTTGCTTGTCTCTTGTGAATTTTCCCAAAATGTCTGCGCCAACAATTATTTGGCATTGAGGTACCACTTCTTCAGTGTCAATATCGGGGAGTCGAAGGGCATCGTGGCTAAGTATATCCGACTCTGGAACAACGGGCAACATTTTCACTAAGGGTCTTCCGCTCCACAGTTTGCTGTCATTCGGAAGCTCTTCATGGGATGGTAATTTTCCTCAGCACTTTGCTGGGGACTCTCTCCTTTCGTTTCTTGCTCCAGCTTCATTTCAGTGTAAGAGGAGTGCGACGGGATACAGCTTACAATTCAGCTTTACAGCTTTAACATTAGCAGGCTTATTCTAAAAAATAATAAATAACTGCTCACTTATTTGGAATACAAACTTTACATCTCTAGATCGTTAGATTAATCAAAGCACAAAGGTATTGTGGCAAAATAATCAAAAATTCTGTCTGAACGTGGCTGGCCCGGTTTGATTCAGCATGTACAAGCTACAGAGTTCCTTGCCATTGCTTTCCGCAACCTTGTATTCGTCCCATTGAAAGTACAAGTAGAGAAACTCGTTGGGATCCGTGAGATGGTGTTCTGTCAGATTGAAACCGCGTCGATCGAGTGGATCTTCCTTGGCATGAAAAAACGCCATGCCCTTGCGTAGTAAATTGGCCACCGGTGTCCAATCACTTTCCAATCCGACTCCCACGGTAATGACGAGCGTTTCATTGAGGGCATCTCCCGCAATTTCTTCGACCATTTGCAGGGCAGCCAAATGAAATTCACGGGTCCACCATATTACACCCTCGGTAGAATCGTATCCCGGTGGACAAATGATTTGGGGGCGGTGGTGCAGGGTTTCCATTCCCGCATCGATAAAGGGTTTGTACCAATTGAATTCATTGCCGCAATCTCCACCCAAAAAGAAAATGTGTTGGAATTGAAACGGCACGCCACGACGGAAATTCGTGGGGTGGACTACCGGTACCACCACCGTAGTTTCAGTTGTTGTATTTGGGTTGGAGGTAGCATTATTGGAGGAGGGCTGGGTGATTATGGAAAAGGTCGTAGCTAACTCACGTTCTTTCGTTCCTTTGTCTTCCTTTGCAGGCAGAGAAAGTTCGGCACACTTGACCGTGGTTCCATCGCCATCGCCATCAAGGGATGATTCTTGGACTGCCGAAGCCTCTGCCGCAGCAACCAAGAAGGGCGTCTCCAGTACTCCAAGCCAGCAACCGACAAGGAATAGCACCATCCATGGCAATGCGTATGGACGACCACGGCTGAGGCTGCTGCCAACTCTCATTTTCAAGGTTAAGTCTCTTGGGTATACCTTGGGTAGCTAGATATAGATAGATCGATCGATAATTAGATAGATAGATGCTTTCAGTTCAGAAGTGCTGTTCGAATATTCCCAGCACAATCGCCGGTATGCATGCATTCATACAGCTACAGTACGTCTTCCGCCTTTCATTAGCAAAAACAAGAATGTTTTAGAACGGAATGCAATGAAAGCGCTGCCGCATGACAAAAAATAGAAGATACTGTAGAAGATGGCTTGGTTTTTGCCATGAGGTCTGAGGGCTCACTGATTACTGGTACTGCCAGTGCTATCTAAACATCTAAACGTGTACCAATACAGGTTCTAATTAAATACTCAGTATTGGAGTAGGATTTACCTACAGCAGCTAAGCTTTTGGTACCGGTACTTATGGAACCCGGTTTAAAGGGTACTCAATCGGACTCGGAGTACAACTGAATTCTTATCAAGGCGTCTTATTAGTTAGACATGTAGCGCACTTTAGACAGGCACAGCTGTACTACCGGTTAAAGGTAGGTAGCACGGTCACAGGAAGACATTATTAGGTAGAGGGGTCACCATAAAACTCCAGACTTGGATATGAGAAACTCCACTATAAGAAAGCGAGCCCTGAGATTTTAGAAAATGTTAAGAAATTCTTCATACTGAAATATCACAGACTGGTAAGAAAGCTTCCCAGTATTGAGACCTCAAAGCATATGAAATACCACTTGTCTGATATCATGAAAATGCTTCAAACTTGTGCCTCAATATGCAAAAATTCTGCAGGGACAGTGATCACCATCTCTATTTGTTTCAAACCAATTCACGAGGCCTGAGCAACTTGGACGAAAAGGGCCAGGTGCACTGACTGGGGTATCCAAGTACTGCTCTGTTTGACCTCTAGAGAAGCATAGTAAGAAAGTCTTCTATGCTGAAATTGGCTTGTTTTGTAAGAAACAATCTGAGGGGCCAAAATGGTGAGTGCTGCATGGTAAGAAAGGCTCAGGGCAGCATTGAATTTAGAGACTTCTTATATGTGAGTTTGGAGTGTACAGAGTAAAATATTGTTTTAACACTCTATAATGCATCTTCCGGTACAGCTGTAATCCCTTCTTGAAACTGCCTTTGACCAAAAGACAGCTGTTAAGACATGGGAATCTCAAGCCCGCTCTAGCTTGGCTGTGGATCTCCAAAACACTCAAGGCCAGCCTCCTGTCTGCTTGCTACACAAGCTACGATGTTAGCTAGTGTTATGCCATAGCTACAGATATCGACCCGACGTGACTCTTTTGGAAACTCCAGACGAGATCGAGTGGCTGAGAAACGCTCGATGAAACGTTTAACTCAGCTAGAGGCTAGGCATCAATTATTAGGTAGATGTCTTTCTCAATCCCACCAAGAAGATATTTAAAATAGAAGGATGGATAAAATAGTATTGTGTGTTCCTTTCAGCTTGGAAGCAAACTGAACCAAGACAAAGTATCCATAAACCCTTTTAGCCCACACAATTGAGAATTGTTGCACCCCATGTTGCTCATCCTGAAGAAACGAGTTGATCCCAACACAGAATCTAGAAGATCGTGGAGGTCGCGAAAAGTCGTTAAAGTCGCGAAATGACGTTAAAGTCGTAATAACAGTCGCGCTAATTTGCACTAAATAGCCTCAAATCGCGCTAGTCGAGATTAAAGTCGTTCCAAGTCGCGATTTTGTAGCAGTAAAAAACAATTAAAGTCGCACTAAGTTGCTCTAGTTGCGCTAGTCGTGGTTTCTAAGTCGTGATTTCACGCTACAAGTTGCGATTATAAATCGCGACTTAGAAACCGCGACTAAAGCAAATTGCGCGACTAAAGTCGCGAAAGTGACGTCACAACTCTAGGTCCAGTTGTAACGATTCGAATGGATGCTAACCTTGCGGGAGATTCCAGAATCCTTACTCTAGCTAGTCTAACTAATAATAAGCTCTACTAGCTAGCTAGCTAGCTAGAGATCTAATAAAAGGCCCTTTACATCGGCAGGTAGACTGCCTGAGATCTCAACCCCTTTACCTCGGTCTATCTGCCTGAGCCCTCCACCCCGAATTTGGAAGGTGGGTGTACACGACATATAGGTGCAAAGGAGAGTCTCCCAGGACAGTCATCACAACCTACCAAGTGGTCAAAACTGATCCATACACAAGTGGGCCAACAACATATGCAA